ATATGTAGTGTGATTGTTCTGATTTATGTATCTTTTTCTCCGTCAGATGTCTGTGAACTGGAAGTGGACACAAACACACTGAGCAGAAACCTCACACTGTCTGCTGACAAAAGGACGGTGACATATACGGAGGAGGATCTACCTTATCCTGATCATCTGAACAGATTTAAATCTCCTCAAGTGTTTTGTAAAAATGCTTTAACGGGTCGCTGTTACTGGGAAGTTGAGTGTACAGGAAAGGTTCAGGTAGCAGTGGCTTACAGAAGAAAGAACAGCAGAGAAGTTATTGACTTAGAGTTTGGGGACTGTGATCAGTCCTGGTGTCTGAGAAGATCTAGACATGGTGGTTATAAAGTCTGTCACAATGGTAGGGCAAACATCTCGTACCCCTCTTTGTCAGAAAGAGTAGCAGTGTACTTGAACCATCCTGCTGGTATTTTGTCCTTTTACATAGTCGACGCTGGCATGCTGCTGCACCTCCACACATTCAAAACCACATTCACTGAACCTCTTTATGCTGGGTTTGCTTTCCAGGATAGTGATTATAGTTCATCAGTGTCTCTTTGCTCTCTGTAGGTCTAAGATTCTCAGACATTCCGCTGACTGACAGTAAACTTTTATCTCCTTCACACACACTCTGCAATGCAATGACCATCTGTCTCAGACTCACATTTAATTCATAACTCAATGTTTTCCTGTCAGCATTCATTTAGACCAGGGGTGCCCAAACAGTCGATCGCGATCGACAGGTAGATCGCTGACTGATTCTCAGTCGATCGCGAGATGTTTTGTCAATATAAAATACACACAATGGTCTGGCAAACATCTGTCACAATGGTAGGGCAAACATCTCGTACCCCTCTTTGTCAGAAAGAGTAGCAGTGTACTTGAACCATCCTGCTGGTATTTTGTCCTTTTACATAGTCGACGCTGGCATGCTGCTGCACCTCCACACATTCAAAACCACATTCACTGAACCTCTTTATGCTGGGTTTGCTTTCCAGGATAGTGATTATAGTTCATCAGTGTCTCTTTGCTCTCTGTAGGTCTAAGATTCTCAGACATTCCGCTGACTGACAGTAAACTTTTATCTCCTTCACACACACTCTGCAATGCAATGACCATCTGTCTCAGACTCACATTTAATTCATAACTCAATGTTTTCCTGTCAGCATTCATTTAGACCAGGGGTGCCCAAACAGTCGATCGCGATCGACAGGTAGATCGCTGACTGATTCTCAGTCGATCGCGAGATGTTTTGTCAATATAAAATACAATTGTAAAATAGAAAAGTGATTTCAATTTCATCTCATTGCACTGTTTCCCACACACGATACCTGTGTTGGGAGCCCAAGTATACTTCCGACCTGTTTGTATTTAATTTTTCATTTATTCATGAAATTGCTTGAGAGAGTGCAGGCATGCGCAATGACGTGCAGGTAAAACCGGGGGGGGTAAATGTTTTACAAAAAAGTCATATATAGAAACTATGCTACGAGTATTAAGCGCATTTGATGAAGCTGCAGCTACTTTTCTCTGCTCCTCTCTGCTGTCATGACTGTGAGCATCGCGGGGCACGAGACACACCAACAAACAGCGCACACGCACACACATACACACACACTTGCACTGGAGCGCCAGCCACCACGCGAACCTTTTTACTTTTTACTTTTAATGCTACAGCACACAGTTGATCCGTTATCCGTACGGACCGAGGCGTGAACACACGTGACCCAGTCAAATGGTCGGTTAGACTTTACTCTGTTCACTCTCACTGTGTCTGCAGCTAATTTAACAAAAGCAAAATCATCTCACAGCAGCCTGCTGTAGTCTGTGAACATCTCCACACAGATTAAAGTTGTTTGTTGTAAACTAAATTAAGGGAAAAACATATGTGATATAAATACAAACGTAATATTAAAATGTAGCCTACCCTAAAATAAGAGTTTTTAAAAAAGTATGTCGATATTGCATTATTTTTTACAGAACTCTCATTTATTATATCTGATATTATTTTCTGTTTGTTGTTTGAGTATTAAATGCGTTTGTAGGCTGTCGGTAAAGGCTATGGCTCACTATGTGGACTGGTAGATCTCGGCAGACTGGCAACTTTAAAAGTAGATCTTGGTTCAAAAAAGGTTGGGCACCCCTGATTTAGACAATCCTCCACCTGCTGTCTTTCAACAGTCAAATGCATCGAGAATCTTTGATGTAGAAAATTAGGGGTGTCTCCAACTACGGATTTACATCATTGAACCTACAGCAGCTACAATCTATGCATCTTTCCTACCACTGACAAAGAAACACCGATTTTTACTGTTTTGTGACGTACCATTCGAGGATTAATTGTACCCTGCACTCTTACTATTCCAACTCAAATGGTCCTGCTACATCAACAAGGGTCTGCACGAAACAAATACAGAGAAAGATTTAATCCAAATACATTACATTCATGAGGATCTTTAGGCTGCTGCCCCCTGTTCCTGATCTCCCACTGTATTTCTGTAATAATTCATTTTTATGAATAAATTCTGTTGATCCATTAAAATGGCTTACGCATTCTGTCACCTCGTTGGGCCAATATTGACTCCCCATTCCTTGTTCCCAGTCTAAGTTAGCTAATAAGAGCTCAAATGAGGTGCCTGCCCCTATTCTTATGTATCTATACCAGAGGTCAGATTCTCTGCCCAAGCCCGACCCACTTACGGTCTCATTTTATGACGTCTTATTCTTTTCATGTTTTACCTTTTTTCTTTGTTAAGCACTTTGGTCAACCTTTGTTGTTTTTAAATGTGTGATATACATTTTAATAATAATTTTTAAAGTTGACTCGATGTGTTTCTGAACGTCAGACACTTCTTCAGCGTTCAGCCCAAAGCTTTGTGCCTATTGTCGGCTCACAGCCGTGCTGATATTCACTTTGACATCACAACCTTTAGTGTGGTATTGTTTCAATGATTTTTATTTCCATTTTCATAAAAATCACAGCACAGATTTTTTTAAAGAACCTGTTTGACTTCTGTTAACTTTAATCACAATACAATGTCATCAATACTCATCCAATAAAGTTTTTAAACATCCACTAAGACAGTAACAAGTCCTTTTCTTTGTGTAATTAAAGATGACTCATCAGAGTTAAAGCGCTTCAAATATCTGTAATCTGTAGTTAATTTTAACAGTAAATGAACTTGATCTTGTATATATCTTTTCTAGTCCTCTGACTACTCAAAGTGCTTTGACACTTCAGGTCACACCTACACATTCACACACTGATGGTAGAGGCTGCGGTGTAAAGAGTCCATCAGAAGTAACTAATCCCATTAATACACACTCATATGTCGCCGACGAAGAACCGGGAACCATTTGGGGTTAAGTGTCATTTTTAGCGTTTTTAAAAGACATGTATTATTAGTTTAACTTAATAGTGCATAATCTTATATCCATTACACTAACAGTAACTATATAAACACAACTGACATGGTGGGTGTCAACAACTCTGATAGCAACATTACTTAAAAAGAACAGACCATAAATAACAACACCTTTAACATCAACAAGACTGACAGTAACACCACAGGCACATATACACCCATACCACTAACACCACCAGTAACACACCTTAAACCAACATTAATACCACTTACACCATCCCACAAACAAACACACCAAAATCAACCATACACATAACAGTAACACCGCCATTGGCACCAATACTAAAACCACTTACACCAACTCCAACAATATAACCACAGCCACATCTGGCCCCCCAAAGCTTCCCATGCAGCCCCCATGTCATAATCAGGAATGCTCCCCTGAAGTAGGATTCCGACTTTGAAACTCACAGAACCTACAGCAGCCCGAGTTAAATTATATTATATCACATTATAGCAGCAGCTTAATCCTCTTGTAGTGTAATTAACTCGATCACACGGATAGTATCATGCTAAAACTTCTATCCATGGACATGTTGTCGTGTTATTTTCGCGCACATTCTATCACGTAGTGTGCCGCTATCGTCTGGTATTAGCTAACAAAATAAAGCTACTCCTGAAGGCGTCTACATTTATCCTGACTTGTTGCCAACTCGCAACCGGTACGTGTTCAACTCGGCTGTGACGTCATTCCCAACTACACATTTATGGCTACAAGTCAGTAATGATGGTAACTACATGTAGTTTTAGCAGGAACAGCTAAGTGTGATATCAGACCAATCTTTCTAATAATGCCATGAGCAACTTTATAGTTATTTGTTGTGCAGGATGTCGGCTCATATATGAACTGCTTGTAAAAAGTTAAACTGGCTTCTAGTGCAAAAAACATGTTATACATAAATAAAGCAGAAATCCAGTATATCCTGTGTAAATGTCTCTCTGAGTCATGACTGTCTACAATGAGTGAGAAGCTCGAGTCCTGCTGGCTGTGTTGTTGTCAGAGCCATGTTCACATGGATGGGACGGCTGGCTCCTCCCCTTGTTTATAAAATCATCTTTTTTACACAAGCACTAGAGAAAAGAAGAAGAACATAGCGTTTTAGATCACGGTCATTCTGTGTCAATTTACATGCAATGTGAAGCTACCAGCTAACTAAAGTGTGCTAACATTAGCATGCTAACACAACAATGCAGGACACAGGTGATTGCAGCTCAAGCAAAGGACAATTTTTTCCTCCATGCTCCTCCCTCTCCTCCACACCTCTCCTCTTCACTCTCCTTTTTTGTTTTTTATACCTTGAAATTAGTCGATTGACAGATTTGACAGATTCACCTGCTTTGGTTAGAGTTTTTTCAGTGTGGGTTTGTCTCAGCTTCCCCCTGCAGTCCACAGAAACAGACCTGTGACTGTTGAACTGTTTTAGGTGCAGCATTGGAGGCAGAAAAGATAAATACATGCTTTTCAATAACACAAACTTCATGTCGATTCTTGTCAAAGCAAGTACAAAAAATGCAGACACGCCCTGGATTGTGTCCCAAGTTTCATAAAACCCCAGGACTGACGGGGAGCTGCATCATTTCTCCCAGAGTTCGATCGACACATTGAAGTGGAAACTGTCCTTAAGTCGACCTGAAGCCAGTTCAGGTAAGAGTCTGTGAATGTTTTAATGAACAGGATCACTTTTAACACATTTTGTCTGATTGTTTACAAAATAAATTTTTTGCGTCTTCAGATTTTCAGAGAGGATTCTGATTCTTAAGTGTTTCTATCTCTGTAACATAAGAGTGGTAAAAGTGTTGAGGTACGTTCCATCCATGTTGGCACAAAAGTTTTCTATTCTTTAAATAAAGAACAAATAGCCGTAGTTGTAGTTACAGACATTGTTTTCGCTCTCCTACATCGCCATGCTTTGAACTACAGATCTGAATTAACCACAGCTGAATTTTCTGCATCTACCACTCAACCTTTTTAAAAAGCCGAAAGGAAAGTTAGTTTCACAGCCGACTTGAAAAAAACACCCTCCCCACCTTCCCCCTTCCCCCTCCACAGCAGTGAGTGACGCTTTTTCATCTTAATAAAGTCAAAAACCACAGCACATTTTGTTTAGGAGCTCGTTGTTGCCGATAAAGAGAGCAGCTGAGTGTTAACTCATCTTTATCATCATCACCACACAGAAAAACATCTTCATCATGAGAAGCGCTCACGTCCTCCTGCTGTGCATGCTGGGAGCTGCTTTGCTCTCCTCTGGCCTCTGCAGCGGTAAGAAATAATAAAAAAAATCATTTTAATGTACTCTTTTTGAGACAATCTGAAAGTCTACACAACTGTGTGGTCTTTTCTTCTTCAGATGAACCCGGCCTCGAGGTCTGCTGCTTCAGATTATACTCGGGGAGGGTGAACAAAAACCAGATCCGCTCTTATTTCATGAGCGATGAACGCTGCCAGCTGACTGCAGCCATGTGAGTGTTTGATCCCGTTTTGACGCTTCGATTGAACTTTGATTATTCATTTTGAATTTGACTAGATTTTATGCCTTTTTGTTTTTTATTTATACATCAGGATTATTCAGCAGGGGTTGATTCAACTTTCTTTACACATCTTTATTTTTTGTCCTTTTGTCACAAAGTGGGTTTAAATGTCCCATTTTCTCTTTTGCATTGTATTTAATCTTAATCACGATTAATTGTATTTTAATTGCATGTTTGAAGTTCTATTATTTTACATTTAAAAACTGGTTTTGTTAGGCTTTTATTTTGAATGTTTGTAATGTGTTGAGGTGAGGGTACCTTACTTCCTGTTTGAATAAAAACATACATGTATTTGGGAAGAAATAAGATAAAGTCATTAAAGGAGCTCAGCTCTACAGTCCTAGTTTTAATACATCCCCATAAAGCCATGAATCAGATTTGATACACTTTTTTTTAGACATCTGCATCTGAAATGAAATCTTTTTTTTCTAAACAATCTGATAAATACAACCAGATTCATGCAGGGCACAGATAATGTACCTGCTCCCAGGAACTTTTTTAAAAATTGGATAGGACAGCTGAAGAGAGACAGGAAATGTTACAAGGAGAGAGTCGTAGGATGACATGCAGCAAAGGGCCGAGGTCGGATTTGAACCCTGAAGCTGATGTGTCAGATATAATACAAAACAAAACTCCAACATGCAGCATGTTAGTTCATTTCTTCTTCTTTTTTTATCGTTTTTTAAAGGGGTCCACTAATGACTTTAAAGCGTTTACAATCTGTTGCATTCATTGTCAAACAAAAAAACAAAAAAGTAAATCTACAATCCAAACAGGGTAATTTTCTTCCTTCAATCTGAAGTTCTGAGAATGAGAGGTTGATAATTAATCTAAAATCATTTTCAACTCTTTTTATTCCAGTCTGGTCACGAAAAGGTCTCTTCAACTCTGTGTGGATCCAAACATGCCCTGGGTTAAGAGCATCATGAGGAGTTTGGACAAGGAGTCCTTTTAATCCAACTCCCTGTCGGTCCATGCACTATAACAGCATGTCCATATATGGTCGTTATGTTTGTATTAATGTGAAAATCTACTTAAATCGAGAAGAACCTATTAAACCATGAATATTCTTATAAACCAACTTATTATTATCCTTTGTCTTTATAATAATCTTAAAATGTTTTTTTAACACAACTTTTTAAGCAACTTCTGAATAAAATAATCACTCTTCATTGCTCTGTTGTTTGTTCTTTTCTCGGACACTTTCACATGGTAAGGCTGGCTGCTTTCTTAACTGCCTATGAAACTCATAGTACGTACTGATTCAGCTCAAATGTAGTATGCAGGATGCTAACAAGTCTGAGATTGGCAGTGTGCTAAAAATACCTGGCTATTGTACTGACATGCTTTTCAACAAACGTCATGTTGATTCCAATCGAAGCAAGTACAAAAAATGCAGACACGCCCTGGATTGTGTCCCAGGTATCATTAAAACAGCAGGACTGACGGGGAACTGCATCTTTTCTCCCAGAGTTCGATCGACACACTGAAGTGCAAACTGTCCTTAAGTCGACCTGAAGCGACTTCAGGTAAGACTCTGTGAATGTTTAATGAACAGGATCACTTTTAGCACATTGTGTCTGATTGTTTACAAAAAAATTGCCACAGGTCAGACCATTGCTGAAGTCACGTTGCTCCTTTATTAGATTTGAACTTTAGCTTCAGATCAGATTCATAAGGGTTAGGGGTAAACTTGCCCACTCACTCTTTTCACGCCGTTATCAGCCGCAACATGATACAATGTTTGCCTCACACACACAAATACACACATACACTTGACTCCCCACAGTTCGCCGAGTCAGGTGATGAGGCTTTTATAGGTTTGGTGACATAGTAATTTACTCCTATAGTACTGTACTCCACACAGCCGTTGGAATTTTTCAAACGGAAGGGCAGACACTATGCACATTTCTAACACAATATTTCGAATTTCAATACTTTGTACTCAAATGTCGAGATTTGGACTTGGATTGATCCATAACACTACTTAATACTCAAATACAGAGGTTTATAGTTGAAAAAAGTGGTTTTAGGGTTAAGTTACTCTTAAAATACACAAAAGCCAAATACTAAGTGCAGGAAGAGGAAGAAAACTCCATGTAGTGTTGTAGACAAGACCACACTAACCGAGACCAAGACATACCCAAGACTGAAATGCTCGAAGATGAAATGCAGGACGAGACCATAACAATGAATGAAAAATCATCATCTTGTGTGTAGGGGGCGTGTCACTCACTTAGACCGTAACACCTGAAAGGTTCACATGTGGAAAAATAGCTGATCAGTGGTGGTCTTGACCGGTCTTGATTTAAAATCCAGAGTCCGCCCAGTCCAAGACAGAGACAAGACTGAGTAAAAATGCTTTCAGTTCAGAGATGATACCTTCAAAAATTGGTCTCCAGAACGGTCTTGAGACAAATACCGATTTACAGTAAAACAATGGACTACATCTGCAAGCCTGATCTCCTCTGGCAGGCTGTTCCAAAGTCTGGGGGCTCTGACAGCAAAGGCCCTGTCTGCTTTGGTTTTTAGCCTGGACCTTGGAACAGCCAGTAGAGCTCCGCCAGAGGATCTCAGACTGTGTCCTGGTTCATAGGGAGTTAAAGCTCAGAAATATAGGAAGGGGCCAGCCCATGTTGTGTCTTAAAAGTAATTAAAATAATCTTATAATCAATTCTAAGATCAACAGGGAGCCAGTGAAGGGATGCTAAGATTGGCGTGATATGGGCACATTTGTTTGTTTTTGTTAAAAGCCAGGCTGCTGCATTTTGGATAGTTTGAAGACAGTGGATTGATTGTCTTACTTAAACAGGCGTATAATTAATTACAGTAATCAAGTGGGGAGGAAATGAAGGCGTGAATTCGTTTTTCCAGATCTTTTTGGGACATGAGTGATTCGATCTTGGCTATATTTCTGAGCTGGTAAAAACAGGACTGTACAACTTTCTTCACTTGGGGCTCAAAACACAAATCCTGGTCAAAAACAACCCCAAGGTTTCTGGCTGAGGGTGTCACATAATGGGCTAGTTCTCCTAGGTGTTCAGTAATTTGGATTCTTTTGGATGGGGGACCAATGACTATGACTTCGGATTTTGCGTCGTTGAGTTGTAGAAAATTGTCTGACTTCCATTATTTTATTTCTGGCACTTGAGGATAGTAGTTGTATTTGAATGGTCACCAGGTGTAATCGGGAGGTAAAGGTGTGTGTCATCGGCATAACAGTGAAAATTGACATTATATTTACGGATGATGTTACCAAGAGGGAGCATGTAAATTGAAAATAGTGCTGGGCCTAGAACTGAGCCCTGGGGGACCCCATGTACTAAGTAATGCAATGATGCATCTCATTTCAAGAGACTTAAAGGAAGAATTTGCGACATGTTCCACATAAATAAATCATAAATCAAGTCTATCCTGTGTAAATGTGTCTCTGAGTCATGACTGTCTACAGTGAGGGAGAAGCTCGAGTCCCGCTGGCTGTGTTGTTGTCAGAGCCGTGTTTACATGGACGGGACGGCCGGCTCCTCCCCTTGTGTATAAAAGCTGTTTTAGTCAAGGACTAGAGAGAAGAAGAAGAACATACTCACTGATTATTTGGATGTTAGGTAATAGTTTTTAGATCACGGTTATTCTGTGTCAATTTACATGCAATGTGAAGCTACGAGCTAGCATTAGCATGCTAACACAACAATGCAGGCCACAGGTGATTGCAGCTCGAGCAGAGGATAATTTTGTCTGCCGTGCTCCTCCCTACCTTCATACCTCTCCTCTCCTCTCTCCTCCCGCTCTCCCCCTCCCTCCTTTTTGGTTTTTTACATCTTGAAATGAGTTGTTTATCTGAATCCGTCAGGTGAATTGTTGCTTAAAATAAGCATAATTCGATATTTATTCAACAAATTAACTTGCTTTGGTTAGAGTTTTTGCAGTGTGGGTTTGTCTCAGCTTCCTCCTGCACTCAGAAACATACCTGTGACTGTTTAACTGTTTTAGGTGCAGCATTGGAGACAGAAAAGATAAATACATGCTTTTCAATCACACAAACTTCATGTCGATGCCTTAGAAATCAGTGCAAAAGTTAAGCCAGCTAAGTACAAAAAACTGAGACACGCCCTGGATTGTGTCACAGGTCAGACCGGTTCTTTCCTCACCCTCCTCCTTATAGATTTGAACTCTGATCAGATTCCTCAAAAGACCAGGACTGATGAGCCAGAATGAGCTGCGTCTTTTCTCCCAGTGTTCAATCGACACATTGAAGTGGAAACTGTCCTTAAGTCGACCTGAAGCCAGTTCAGGTAAGAGTCTGTGAATGTTTTAATGAACAGGATCACTTTTAGCACATTGTGTCTGATTGTTTATAATATTTATTTTTTTGATTGTTCAGATTTTCAGAGAGGATTCTTAAGTGTTTCTTTCTGTGTAACATGAGAGTGTTTAAAGTGTGATTTTCATGAACCTCTGTAAGTATAGTTTCTGAGGAGAACAAACAGCAGACTGATTTTATAAGATCAAATCACAGGTAAAAAAATGTGTCAGAACTAGTCGGACCGCTTGGATCATAAACACTGTGGCGCCATTTATCTAAATGACAACAGTCTTCAAACACTGTCGTCATCGTCCTCACGTCCTTTCTCCTCTCAAAGCCCTACAATTGTTACCTTCATGGAGATCCTCCTAACTCAAATGCATCTCGAGGAGAGAGGGTAGAATGAGCAAACACAGGTAGTATTTACAGTTTAGTTTTATGTTTTCTCATTCAAGAAAAATACATAACGATCAAGTACTGTTGTAGTCAAGACCACATTAACTGAGACCAAGACATACCCGAGACCAGAGTGCTCTGAGACCGAGACCAGACCAAGACATTTAGGGATCAAGACCAAGAACAAGGCACGGTGAGATACAAGAACAAGACCATAAATATCACAGAAAATCATCATTTTCTGTGTAGGGGGCATGTCACTCACTTAGACTGTAACACCGGAAAGGTTGCGGCCATATACGGGGGATAGAAATCCTTCAGGTCAAAGTAATGATGTGAAAAGAATACTCTATCAGTGGTGGTCTTGATATAAAAATCTGGAGTCTGCCCAGTCTGAATTCAAGACAAGACAGAGTCAAAAAGCATTTGATTTTTAAACGAAAACTCCAAAAAGTGGTCTTGAGACAAAGTCAGGAGAGCAAGATCTGGGAACCACATGCGGGAAAGGAGCCACAGGTCGGACTTGAACCGGCGACCTCGAACCTAAAGGACTGTAGGATATATGGGGTACGAACTAACAACTAGGCCAGTGATCATCAGCTGTTACACACACACGCCACATCCAGCCCCACAAAGCTTCCCATCTGGCCCCCAGAGTACAAATCAACTCGGGCTAATAAACAATAAACGTGAATATAAAATCACAAGGTTAAAATACTCCCATTAGGACAATGTAAGAAATTACAATAACATGAGAACTATTGTGTCGTTGGTGTAAACCTTGTTGTAGTAACGGAGTGTGGATCTCTCTGCAGGTTTGAGCTCTGTGATGGATCAGTGTGAGAACGAAGAGCAGGGAGACGGTCCCTCTAAAACCACCCTGCATCAGGAACATGAAGCTCAGAGGTGAAATGGTGATCTAATACTGGCTGTGACTTTTCTCCATGTCAGGGGGAAGGTCACTCTAAGCTCTGTTTGTGTGTGTTTGTGTGTGTGTGTGTGTTAAAGCCCAGAGCAGCAGTACACACCAGACTCTCCTGGACCTGGACCTGGACCTGGATCTGCTGCCAGCTGTGTGTTCATGAAGAGGGCTGAGTCCATGACTCCACCACCATATTTTAAACAACCAGAGACAGAGTGAGTCCACACATACTGTCACAGTACAGTTGCTGTGAGCCCTCAGGGGTCCCCATACTGGTATCAGGCTCCAGTCAGTTGCCTGCCCTGCCTGTTGACAAGCAGCGTCTCTGAGCACCACCAACATCCACCTGTAAGCTTCGACTGGGGGTTTTAATATATCATCCCATCATTCCTCAAATTTCTGCATGTAAAATAAAACTGTGAGGAGTGATACTATCGGAGCCTAGGCTCCAAACACAAACGATGTTCTGCAGCAATCAATATTTGAAACATTACAAACATGGTTTGTCAGACTGAACTGTATGTTCTGTGTAATATGAAGCTGTATAATGATATAAAAAAACAACATC